CCCTTTTTACCGTGGGTCTGCAATGTATTTTCAGAATATTTTAAAAAAACTTTTTTTTGGTTCTATTTTAATATAATTTTCTTGTGGAATCCAATTTAATTATTTACTTTAATTTCTATATTCATAGACTTAAGTTGTAGCTTCACTATTTTGAATATCACTAATATTTTTGAGTAAAAAATCAACGATCAATAAAAAAAAATACTTTAATGATGGACTTCTTCATATTATATATAATTTTATTTTAGAATAAGAATTTAAAATCAAAGCAAAAGAACAAAAAATTGAACGAAGATGAAGAAGTCTATTTGTGATTTTGTCACTTATATTAATTGGTGGATATCTACGGAAAATTGTATGAAATAGCAAATTATTAATTCAAATTAAATGTTATAGTCATAGTTTATTTGATTTGTAATTCGCAGTAAACATCCCATTTTTTTGTTATCTGATTCGGTATACAATTACCCATTTGGTATACAAATGTATAAAATATATAAAATGTGTTTGCGTTTGTATAAAGCGAGAGAAAAGTGTTTATACAGATACACATACATATATTTTCGTCCTATACACTTATAATTATATAAATACAGAACTTATTATACAAATTACAATGTATAAATGAATTTATACAAAACTGAACAATTTGTATAAAATTGGATGTTTGTAGCGAATTATACAAATCAAAAGCTCCATATCAAACATAAAATTTGCTATGGAGCGCAATTATGCAAACTATATCTATAACATACAAATATGATTTTTATGTTCTTTCATATATAGCAAACATAAAAATTATATTTGTGTATCTTGTATCACATGTTATTTATTACAAAAAAATTACATTTTTGGTGGTCTTACCCAACAACTTTATATCCAACATGAACCCCCTCAAAACAGAAGGTCAGATAGAGGTAAAAAACCACCAATCTGGATGAAGAATTTTGTGTCACTCTACATTTAGGATAGTAGTTCATACAGTATAAACAAGTATGTCACCAATGAAGCCTTCTCTTGTCCCTCGGTGTGGTCAGTATTCCATACCATATGCTACCACCATTTGGCTAAAAAGGATATGAATCTCTTTGCCCTGTTTTCAGGTTCCATCATGCTCCATATTACTACTTTTTTAGCCTAAAGTCTAATCTAGGGCTTGAATATGCATGTACTCCTGAAAATTGAATATAGTCATAGTAGTCTGTCCATTGGCAATGAAAATTATTAAAAGTGGAGTTAGTTAATAAAATGTAAATTACAAAATACAATGTGGAACTTACAATATATCCATTCGGAGACTAGCCGATGACATCCCATTTAAATGTGATGTTTCCGTTGGGATAAAAAGTATCATATACTTGTAAAAAAGGAATAGAAAATAAAAATGTAAAAATGGTAAGAAAAACTCACGAACTAAAAGAAAGAGGACCAAAAAGCAAATCCATCACCAAAATGCAAGCACACTAATATTATTTTCTTGCCTTCTTTTAATTTGGACCATATGTCTTGCCTTCTTTTATATGTATAATTAGATAGGAGTTCGTGTTAGCAAGGGTCAATATGTGTTGTTTTTTATTTCAATTTATGTGACATAGATAGAGTTAGAGAGTTAATTAAATTTTAATATTAATTTTAGATATTTTAAATTGTTAATTATTATAATTTTTAACGTATTTCAAAATTTTTATATGTTTTCACATCTTTTGAATATTTTAAATTATTAATTATCGTAATTTATAATATTTTATACAACTTATTTGATATAGTAGATGATTAAAAATTAAAACAGATTCATCGCAGGAAAATTACCAAAGCATCCTTCAATACATCAATAATGTCATTAAATAGTCACATGACAATCAAAAGTTAATGGGTCCCACTTTGGTGTAAAAAAAGGCTTAAGTCACACACAGCCACTTAAAGTTGTCCGTAGATTTCACTTAGACACCTCAATTTAGCTTTGTACCTATTGAACACTTTATATATTCAAAAGTGAATCCAATTAGACACAAAACGTTGACATGACAAAAAACGTGTACAACACTCTCCTTAAGTGCGTGAAACAATAAAAAATGATATTTTTTTCTTTTTCTTTTCAACTTATACACCTAAATTAAATAAATAACAATAATAATAATAATTAATTAAAAAAAATGCCGTCTTCTCCCATCTTCCTCCCTCCAATTGTTCTTCCTTTTTTTTTTTTTTATAAATATTCCGATAAAGCTCCATTGTTTCCGATGAAAATAATATTCCAGCAAAGTTATTAATTATTTTTTCCCGACAAAAGTTCATTTTTTTTTATGTAATTGTGATAATGATGACTAGTGAAAGAAGATGAAGACCATGAATGAAAGGTTTAATTCCATTAGAATGAACATTGATTGAGGGGTTACTTAGATGGATAGCAATGATGTATTATTGACGCCGGTGAAAGGGATAAGATTCGATGGAGAAGAAGAAGTGGGTGGAGGCTATGGTTCAGTGATAGTTGAGGTGCAGCGTCTCAATGCTTAGGAATTAAGATTCGACGACATTGAAAATGGAAATAAGTAGCGGTTGAGGTGCAGCGGCACTGTGGAATTGGAAATAAGTTCCAATGGAGAAGAAGAAGGGTGGGGTGGGGGATATATTTTTTTGTTTTCTTGAAGTTCCTTATGAATTATTTAAATAGAGTTATAAAAGAATTTAATCCAATCGACATGTGTCATCGTTCCATTGGTCCATTTGGTATGCATATGCGTTTGAGATGCACAAAAAGGTCATATAAATTTATTAAGATTTAAGTATTCAATGGATACAAGACTTTATTCGGGTGTCTAAATGAAAAATGTGGATAATTTTAAAGCACTGATATGACTTAAGCCAAAAAAAAAAGGTCAAAAATATTATAAGCATAAATCATAAATTACAACAACATCAAACCATAAAATATCAGGACTAAAAATATTCCTAGGTGGACAGGCAGACACGTTGACCTACTGTATAACCTATAGTACATGTACTCCCTCCTATAGTTAAGCATAATAAAATAAATAACATAAAGCATTAAAGTACAACAAGATCAAATCATAAAATATTCCTAGGTGGACAGGCAGACATGTGACCTCATGCCTATATAAATTTTAATATAAACATGTACTAGTATATCTTTTTAGTTTTAGAGCTCGTTTGTATTGACTTAAAAATTGATCAAATTTATTTTTAAATCGTTTTTAACTTTTGGAGTACTTAACAAAGTTACAATGAACTTAACTTTTAAAAAAAAGTTAAAAATCAAAAGTATGACTCATTCCTACTTTTTTTGACTTAAAAGTCATTTAAATTTGTCTTTTTATTTTTTGATTTAAAAGTTACTTTTTAAAGCCAATCCAATCGGGCTCTTAATGTTTTTGAATAGTTTGTTACTAATTATATTTAAGAAAAATTGTATAAAATAACAAACTATTAATTCAAATTAAATGTTATAACCACAGTTTGATTTAATTGTAACCCGTAGCAAACAAATGTCATTCGCGCCTCTCCCTGAATTTCTCGCTCGCCACTCTTGATTTCTCGCTGGGCAGTCTCTCCCTCGCCTCTCTTACTTCATACAAACACAAATGTATAAAATGTATTTGTGTTTGTATAAAACGAGAGAAAACTGTATATATACATATCATTTCGTTCATCTCTCTCCCTAGAGAATCTCGCTCGTCACTCTCCCATATCTCGCTCGTCACTCTCACTTTATACAAACACAAATGTATAATTGCGTTTGTGTTTGTATAAAAAGAGAAAATTTTATATATACATATCTTTTCGTTCGTCTCTCTCCTTAGAGAATCTCGCTCGCCACTCTCCCAGATTTCGCTCGTCACTCTCACTTTATACAAACACAAATGTATAATTGCGTTTGCATTTGTGTTTGTATAAAGCGAGAGAAAATTGTATATACAAATACAAATACATATATTTTCGTCCTATACACTTATAATTATACAAATACAAATCTTCCTTTGTCCAATTTTCTTTTGTCTTTCTCTCTTTCTCGCTTTATACAAACACATATTATATAATTGATTCTTTTGTATATGTATATCGAAACAGATTATACAATTGATTCTTTTATATATATATACCGAAATATACATATTAGTAGCCATAGCAAGAGCGCAATTATACAAACTATAACTATAACATACAAACAAATATGACTTTTATGTTTACTAAACCTAAAATTTACTCCTTAAAAAATATAAAATAATATACTTTTAAAAATGTGGGCTGACCCGACAAGGGCCACAACCCACGTACTGATGGGTTGGGATGGTTTCTAGCCCACCAAATTAGTGGATCAACTCGGCCTGACCCGTCAAATTTCAAAACTTGTATGGGTTAATCCGGATGGGATGGGTCAGCCAATATTGACAACTATAATTTCAATGTCTTGTCCTTTTATTTATGGTTTGAATTTTAACTAAACCTAAAATTTACTCTTATTTTTACCACTGAAATATTTTGTTACTGCAAAAATAAAATTCTAACATAATAATATCCATCATTTTAAAAAATTAAATAATATGTTAAAAAATATATTTTTAATTTTTATATAGTTTTTAAAATTTAGCACTTTTATGTTACGGAATATACACATAACAATCGTATCAAGAGATTAATACTCGGTGAAAGTGGAAATAAAAAAAAGTCAATAATTATTTAAAGCGAAAAGGAATCAATATGAATTAATAAGGAATGAAAATAAAGAAAATTAATGAATAGCAATATGTTGCGTAATTCCACGAATATAACAATTTTCAGGCGGTATATTCAGCCCGTGATATATATATTACAAAACATGCACAAAAATAAGACAAAAATATATTCTTAATAGCTTATATAAGAAAAATATTTCCATGATTATAATTATATTAAAAGAATTTGCTTAACTTCCCAAATTGTATGTAATCTATAAGATAATTATTTGATAGATTTTTATATAGCAGAGCACAAGTTCACTAGTGAAACGAAGATGGCGGAATTGAGCGGACTGAAACTGGAGCAGAGGCATGGAAAATCCAGAGTGAGAGTAGCTAGGGTTTGGAGAGATCGAGATGGGAAACATCACTTTGTTGAATGGAGCGTTAACATCAGCCTCATCTCCGATTGTTTACCTGCCTATGTCTCCGGCGATAATTCCGATATCGTCGCCACCGATACCATGAAGAACACTGTAATTCCTTCTACTTCTCTTTTTCTATAACAGCTTATTCATATGCATAGATGAATGTCTAATAATGAAATCTTAGTAAGATTCTAATTTTGTTAGATCATCAGATCAGGGCGGCTTATTTAACTGAGTAAAAGTTGGTACTCACACGTCCTTAACTTAATCTTTGATTTGAGGTTGGGATTAAAATAAATAAAAATTGCTAGAGAGCCTCTTTGGGGACTAAAGCGCTACTTTCGTGGCTTGACTCTCTGGCTAGCCACGGATCTGTTGATCAATTTCATCATCCGTGAAACTAGTACAGAAATGCTGGTATTTTGGTTTTCACTGTTTTTTTCCGAAGAAATTGGATGATCCTGAGTCATGAATGACATAATGAGACTGTAGGATTGATCTAATTGTCTAAGATATTGCATGATCACGGATTAGATAATTAGCTTGTACTTTTTTTTTGGAAAAAAATTCTGATTAAATTCTGAATTATACATTTTACTTGAGGATTTCTCTGTATTGTTGGTTCTGATTATTGAATTGTGAAATAGGTATATGCGAAAGCTAAGGAATGTTCAGAGCAACTTTCAGCTGAAGATTTTGCCATTGTACTTGCAAAGCACTTCACCTCCTTTTATCAGCAGGTAACACTTCGTCAAAATCTATTAATCACCGACTTTATTTGGGACTGAGGCGTTGTTGTTAATATCTAATAATGAAATCTCAGTAAGAAAATAATTGGATGTCATGGAACAGTGTTTTTGGGACAATTTTGTGATTTTTATTACTGGAGTAAAATAAAAAAATGGAACACGGTGGCCATTGATAGGCTTGATTTCTACAGAGAATGAGAAAAGAAGAGATTAGAAGAGGAAGAGAAGGATCAGAGGAGAGAGGGAGATAACGTGAAGAGGAAAGAAAGAACTGAGATAATCCTCAATTTTGTATGCTTTTCACCATAGGTCCAACCCCGTTTATATGAGCGAGCAGACAATCGATTAATTTCAACCACGTGCCCCTCACTTGATCATTATTATATCTGGGTTCATGACACTCTTGCCAATTGCCATGTAATGATGTTAGTTATCTGCCATTGACTACTTGGTTATTTTAGCCACTGAAGTAAGTAATTGTCAGAAAGGTACCATGTTAATTAAACATCTAGGGTACGTGCTCTCAGTGTTCTGAAAGACACCTCATTTTTTCGCACAGATCAATCTGAGATTATGTCCGTTAATCTGTCAATTGCTCTGTTCAGAAGAATAAACAATTGTGTATTGTTGCCTTGTGTTGTGTGGAGTTTGGAAATTCTTGTGCTTTGTCGTGACGTTGCTTAATATAATTATACGACTGACTAATATGGCTTCTACGATGCACTTTACATGGATCTTCTTAAATGCTTTTTCATATTCTGTTGTTGTAGGTCACTGCTGCAATTGTTAATATAGTTGAAAAGCCATGGGAACGCATTAGCATAAAGGGCCAACAACATGAACATGGTAAGCCTTTTGATTTACGACAGAATATGTTGCATACTTCCGTAATGAATTTCCCCCTCCCTTTAGAAGTTAAAGTGAAACTCTAACTTACCTTATGCTGCTAATCTCATAAATTGTAGTGAGTATGCCGGTTGGCTGATTTCCCCCCTTTCTTTACTCTCGCTTCATTTCCTTGATGTCAAGTTAATTTTCTTAGATCAGCACATGAGCCATTTTGAATTCTAGTCCCATTGTAAGTTATGATAAGACATTTTGTGAGTAATTTAACATATTTTTTCCCTATGTTATTATCTCTTTCAGAGAATTAGCCAGTGTCACAGACTTCTGTACTTTCATTTAAATATGCTGTCAAACTTGATAAGGCGAGACCAAGTTCAAAGTCAAGTCTGAGGCAATTTTGCTTCCAAATAATGAGTTATTTCCATCAAAGCTTCCTAAATAGTCTAAATACTCCTAACTTTTTTTTAAAAAAGAGAGTCTAAATTCTCCTATTTCTCATTTGATCATGATCATATTTGAAAATTAGATCTTTATGAAATGCTAAAACATTAAGCTTGATAATGGCTACAATCTGGTTAATGCAGTTAACTAGATAAACCTGATCTAACATTGTAATCCTTGTTTGGACGCATCATGAGATTCCATAGTTTGTATTTGCTTGCTTTTGGTTTATGTTAGAATAAAATCAATCGGGGTGATTTCTTCTCATCTTCCTAAGTCTTGGTAGGCAGAGTTATCTAGGAGACGAGCACCTGCAACCTTCTTTTGTCAAATGCTTCCAAGAGCTGTTTTATGTCTGAAACTACTTTTTTTGGAAATACTGTTCGAATCCGTTTTAGCTGATCATATCAATTTTTAGCTAATAAAAGGCCTTAAAGTTGGTCCTCTATCATATATTACAAGGAGCTATAATTTCCTGAAACATAGTTGCAAAATCCTAAGAGTTGCAGTTTGTGGACCCCTTTTATCTTGAATTTATTGGCTCAGAATATGGTCCAATCTGGGAGTTGAATACTGGAGGAGACAGACACCTTGATAAAGGGGTTTGCAATGTCCTCATTGTATGAATCAAAAAAGAGTTGTTTCTAGTGATCCAATGCTCAATGAGTTTAGAGGATTCAAGTGGTTGCATGGGAAAAATTTAAGCTTTGGAATGCTCGAGTGCCTTAAGCCATAATGTTGCTTTTGTTTGATATCTCTAACTTGTTGCACCTCTTAACTTTGGTTTCCATTTATACAATCTGATTTTCTATCTGATGAGGTGATGTACTGATATTAATGAAGAAATTGGGTTTCCTTGAAATTAATGATTGTTGTATGTTGCATCATTACAAGGTTTTAAGCTTGGCTCTGAGAGACACACAACTGAAGTAATGGTCGATAAATCAGGAACATTGCGCCTGACGTCTGGTATTGAAGGATTATCAATTCTGAAGACAACTAAGGTAATCCCTGTTATACATCTGGCTAAGTTTCTTTATTTTCTGCTTCTAGTTGCTGCAGGTAAAGTTACAGTTCCACATACCTAAAAACAAGAAAGAAAAGGGTTCTGGAGTTTGAATGAAAGCGTTTTACAGTATCCTATTAAGATATGTGATCCTCCTTTAGTAAAAATGAGATATGCCACGCTCCAGGAAGTCAATTTAGTTTGTTTTCTTTCGACTCTCCCACCTTCTGAACGGAGTTAGTGGAGGTTGGGGCTATGGATCAGCTGCAAGGCAACAAGGGTTGTACTCTCAGGAATGATATATGGAGATATAGCTGGTATATAGTTTGAGATGGTTTATATGTGGGCCAGACAAGATCCATTCGGCCCCACACAGGTCCTTAGTCTTCCTTGCTCTAAAATTGGAGCTCCAGCATCTAATATACTTCTTCCTATGGTAACTAGGAATTTTTTTTACATGTGATTAGAATTGGTAGTACACCTTTCTTGATACACCACCCTAAACAAATGGCTACCAATTTTTTTCGCATAATAAGTGCAGTGTCGATTTGTATAACAAATAAGCTCATTGAAACAGTCAGGTTTTGAAGGATTCATTAGGGACCAGTACACTATGTTGCCTGAAACTCGTGAAAGGATGATGGCTACAGAGGTCACTGCATCTTGGAGGTAAATTATTCATCTTTTTATTTTTCTAAAAGAAATGGTGTTAAAGTTTTCCGACATGAATGAAATTTTAGTCTTGCTTTGTTAGTTGTTAGTCATACTACCATGTTTCATTCGCCCATTGTTGACCGTGCTGTGAACCTGAACATTGGTTCATATAGGTACTCTTTTGAATCTCTCTCAAGTCTTCCCCTGAAGCCTCTGTATTTCACAGAGAGATACATGGATGTGAAAGAGGCCCTGCTTAACACATTCTTTGGACCATCTAAGGAAGGAGTATACAGCCCTTCTGTTCAAGCCACACTTTACGAAATGGCAAAGGCTGTTCTTGGAAGGTCTTTCTCTCAATTCCAACTCATAAGACGTTTTCTCATTTTCCTCGCGCACACATAAGAGAAACTAAACCTCGAAATCACTTTATTTTCTTCTTCAAGTTTTATTTTTTTTATGACAAGGGAAACCCGCAGCCGCTACCCTTTGGGTGCGCACAAGGTAAAACCCCCACTCCTATGCAATAGCTCGCAAACCACATAAATCCTTACGGTTTCTTGGTATTGTGCTTTCAGGTTTCCTGACATTTCATTCATTCAGTTGAAGATGCCAAATCTCCATTTTCTGCCGGTCAATTTGCCAAGCAAAGATAAACCAGTAATTGTTAAGGTAAAGTTGCCCTTCCCTCATTTACTGGACTACAGTGGAACTGTGTGCTGCAATGCAGTGAATTTGATGATCAAGTTATTTCCCAACCCTTGTAATGATATTTACCAGGCAAATTCCCGTCCAAAACTGGACCAATTTCCATGAGAAAATATGGTCAATTGCTTAAACCTGCTCTCTACCTTAGCAAAACTAAATAAGCCTTAATTGAGGCCTTCCCTTTGTGATGACAGAATTGGGCGTTGTCATCTATAGTTAATCTATAGATTAGTTTAATTTTGGTAGGATGTAAAACTAATCTATAGATGACAACTCCCAATTCAATTGTAGGATATAAAGCTAATCTATAGTTAGTTAACTTTGGTTGGATGTACAACTAATCTATAGTTGGTTAACTAACAAACTAATAATACAGCTGGAATGTTAGGGAACTAACTAACAGTTCAGCTAACTTTATTGACAGCTGAATCCTCAATATTGCGGAATATACATTACCTGTTCCAAAATAAAAGAAAAAGAAAGATAAGAAGACCAATGGAGAACCTGAGTTGTTTTAGGAAAGCAAGACAGGCTGGATTAGTTAGGGGGAAGGGTGGGACTAAGGGCCAGGGGAAGTCAAGGGTGCTGGGGCATTGAATAGAGGTAAAGTAGTGATGTCTGGGCTTGGGAAAAAGGAGCAATCATGGAAGTGAATCAGTGGAGCTGGGATAGAAGATTCTTAGTGATTAGGTCCAAATTTTATTCATGCTAAAGAGAACTTAAAAGTAGATATACTGCAACGACATCAAAATTGATGCTTAATAAATGCACAAAAACTATGTGTAGCCGACACCGGCTAAGAAGAAACTTAAACAAACTACGTAGATGTTCTTTCGACCTGCTTTTGCCATGGCATGGTGGCAGCACAATCATCGAATACTCTAATCTCTGAAAGCCAGAAAATACTACCTTTTTCGAAGCATTGAAAACATGTCAATACTGGAGGGATGGCCTACATGGATTTGGTCTCGGGAAAGGAAGAGAGCAGTGATGGGGGGGCTGGAATTTGTTGGCAATAATGAATCCACATTCTTAATTTAATATTAACTTAGCCCATCATGCCAAGTCGTGGTGATACAGTATCTACATGTAATGGAAGAGTTTGAAACAAGAGAAGTTAATGCAGTAGGTACAGTTAATGATCCACGTAAACGATTCTCGAGTTACATATCTTTAACCATGTATTGTCCAGTTGCTTCAGATGTTTTAGTTTTCCAGTTTTCTTGTTGCATTGCATATTGCATGCATTCAGTCAAGAGAAAAAAGTTATGATGCTACAAGGTTGATCTCTTGGGCATTATATACCACTGATCATGTACTTCTCTCACGAGCTTGAATCAATGATTGATATTTATCTATGGTAACCTTTCAGTTTGCTGACGATGTTTACTTGCCAACGGATGAACCACACGGAACAATTCAGGCGACTCTCAGTCGTCTTAGGTCAAAGATGTGAATTACTGCTGATCAAATGGTACTGCCTATGTTCATTTGTTTATATTTAAGTTGTTACCAACCCAAAGCCACTCAAGGGGAGAAATGTTCGTAGCAAGAAGCAACAACATATAACATGGTTCTGAAACTTTGGTAGTTCGTTGTACACATGTAATATATGGGTGTCTAGTTGTTTTTGTCATGTAAAATAAATGTATTGCAACATGATCTATCATTGTGATGTAATCCATCTGGATAATAAATCGACGTTATAATATGAAAAACTAGAATCCCTTCAAGTTATAAATTTTGGTTTCTATTTGATCAACTAAATTTAAGAGAAAGATTTTAGATGTTTGAATTTAAAATAAGTTTAAAATATTAGTTTGATTTTAAATTATTATATACATGAAGGATTGAATGAGATTATTTTTTAAAATATACAAAGATTATTTTCTTTAAAATAAATTAAAATAATATATTATAAATTATACAAACTGGATAAAGATATATATGTATTAGACTATTAGTCTTTGCTTCTTTGGCAATGAGTGTTGTGCATGTATTCCTTATTAATGAGATCATAAGTATTGTCATAAACATATTTCGTAAGGAAAATAAGTTTTCGATTTTAGAGGCAAGAAAGCGTTTTGAATTTTTTTGACGTTTAAGAAAAACATATAAGATACTATTACTAATGTTTTGACATAATATTTTTTACATATATATTAGAAGGCAATAAATAAAAAGCTCATTTATTTTCATTTTCATTTGTACTCAACACATTCCTAATTTCTATCAAGGCATTTTAAAAACAAAAATTCTTTTGTCATCGAGTTTTGACTTGTGTGACGTGTGATATATGCTAAAAAGTGATTATTATTTTTTACGAAAAACAGGAATATTAGATCCCCATAAAATAATCCAAATATGATTATACTACTGTATATTAGAATTTAGATCATTGTTTACGTCATTTTAGTCCCTTTAAATTCTTCAACTACCTATGATATAATAATATAAAAAAAAAAGGCTTAAGTCATACACAGCCCCTTAAAGTTGTCCGCATATTTCATTTGAACACCTCAACTAAGCCTTTTACCTATTGAACACCTCTAGTACTTTGAATTGATACCTATTTGACATTTTTTGGACAATCAGCCAAAATATTAAGTGTGTGAGATACACTTGCTATGACATGACACTATGACGAATTAAATAATAACATCTGTCAATTGGATCCAAAAAAAAATATTTAAAAATATAATTCAATATGAGTGAAGAAAAATATTTTAAATAATAAAAAATAAAATAAAATTTTTAATCCCTGCACAATTCCCCCACCCCACCAAACCTTTCCCCTGCTACCCATGACCAGCCCCCCATCGGCTCTTTCTCTTTTTTGTTTTCTGTTCTTCTTTATCATAGATTAACAATGACAAATTGTTAAGATTCAAAAAAAAAAAAGATTAAAAAACAAATCTTTAATAGTTACCATTGTTATCAACCACCCAAGTTCTTCCCTGTTACCTATCAGAACACTATTCTCCTTTTTTTTTCTTCTAATCTTCTAAATCAACAATGGCAAATATAAATTCTGATTTTCCCTTCCACCGGAGCTGGTGTCGACACCAACAAACCATCGCTCTACTTCTTTCATCTCTTTCATTGGCGTCGGCAATACAAAATACACCATTGCTATCCACTCAAGCTAAATATTCATTCTCTTTCATTTTGATAGCATGAAAATCTTTTACTCATTGCCTTCATCTTCTATCCATTAGTTACTATTTATTGGAATTGGAACAAATAATAACAAACTTTTGCAAAAAAAAATCAATTCATATTTTTTTCATGTAATAAATTGAGCTTCATCAAGATATTTGAGACATAAATTAACATAAAAAAAGAAAAATAAGAAGAAGAATGGCAGAGGGTGAGAGAAAGAGAGAGGTGGAGGGGTGGGGTGTGGTGTGTGGTGTGCGCATGTGTGTAAGAAAAATGATGAAAATGGTGGAATAATAGACATAGGGATGGGAACAAGACGACTACTCTTTTTTTTTTTTGTTAATTATTTTTCTTTCTTTTTTATTAATTTAGGTGCATAAGTTAAGGAGAAAAAAAGAAAAAATATTATTTTTTAATAACTCAACGCGCTCAAAGAAAGTGAACCACACGTTTTTTGCCATGTCAACATTTTGTGTCTAATAGGAATGACTTTTGAACAAATAAGGTGTTCAATTGACACAGGAATAAGTTAGAGTGTCTAAGTAAATTATGCGAACAACTTTAGATGGTCGGAGATACTTAAGCCTAAAAAAAAATGCAAAAAAGCTTTAACACACAATTTGTTCTTTTCTTCTTTCTTACTTTTCTTCCAACCTAGCATTTTAAAAACAAAAAAAATAAGCATAATCTGTAAAGCATTAATTCTTTTCCCAAATACTTAGAAGAAATCCAGGAATCTTCCCTTTTTTCTATTCAGAAAATCCAATTTCCTCTTGATTTCCTTGTTCTAGAAGATTCCTTTTTTTTTTTCCAATTTCTTATGTTGACACACACGTAATTTTTTCTTGTATATAAGAGGATTATTTGATGTTTTGTTCTCCCAACAATATTAAATTGCAGATTTTGCGTTTATACAATTTGGGTTTGCTATTTCTTGAATTTTTTGTCTTAAAGTTGTTATTTTTATCTGAAATTTTGGATATGAGTTCAGGGGGAGAAAAGAAAAATGTGGTTGTGATTGGGGGTGGAGTTGCTGGTTCTGTTGTTGCTAAAACCCTTAAAAGTGAGGTCAATGTTTCCCTCATTGATGAGTAAGCATTTCTATTTTATCAACTTTTTGCCTCTCATTGTGAATTTGATTATGTGTTAGCTTTATGAGTGTCCCTAATGCGTCGCGAAGATAGAGATAAGGTTTGCGTATATGCTCCTTCGTAGATCACACTCGTGGGATTACACCGGTTATGTTGTTGTTGTTAGATTTATGTGTGTTCCATACCTTGCAAAGATAGGAGTAATGGGGTAAGGTCTGTGTACATCTTCCCCATGTCAAACCCCACTTGTGGGATTACGCGAGTTATGTTGTTGTTAGCTATATAAATGTCCCTAACGTGCAAAGATAGGGATAAGGTTTGCGAACCCTTCCCAGATTCCACTCATGGGATTACACTGGTTATGTTGTTGTTAGTATGAGTGTCCCTACCTTGCAAAGATAGCGGTAAGGTCTTTGTACATCCATACCCTCCTCAGACCTCACTTGTGGGATTTAGACATGTTATGTTGTTGTGTTGTTGTTAGCTATATGAGTGGTTTAAGGATTGATCGTTTCAATTTCTTGATTTTTTTTATCATGAATACTTGTTCAATTGTTTGTGCTTGTTTATTACTCTACTATTAGTTTATTGTGCTTAAATTAACTGAATACTTGAAAATGAAACAGGAAAGAGTACTATGAGATAACATGGGCAAGCTTGAGGTGTATGGTTGAACCTGAATTTGCAAAAAGATCTGTCATTTCTCACTCTGAATACCTTCCTCATGCGAAAATCATTCCATCAGCTGCAGTTGACATCACAGACACTGATGTATTGACCAAACAAGGCAGCCGAATTGCATATGACTATCTTGTTGTTGCCACTGGTCATACACAAAGCGGTGCTGAGGCGAGAACGGAGAAGATCAGTCAATACCAAGCAGGTATTGGTCCAATCTCGTGGTTACTTTTGTGTTCTGCTTTCATAGAACTCAAAGCTTGTGTGTAACTAGTTTTACTTTTATCTTAAGACACGAACCTTAAGAAATTCGACGGTTTTCTGATAGGTAATTGAGTACTCAAATGGTTATATATTGCCATCACCTTACAAACAGCTTGTCTTACTTTACAATCTGATAGTTTTTGAACATGCACAATTACCTTGTTTTAGATCAACACTTCACCTTTATCATAGTCGTGCATTCTGTTTCATAATTTCCGTCACTTCAAAAACCATATAATAATAGAAAACTTTAAGAAAGGGGATAGGGTGTATGGAAAAGGAAGGAACAAAAAGAAAAGAGAATCAGATTTATCTTCTTGTTTTCTGTTTAGGAACCTAGAGAGGCTAAAAGAAATTCTTAGCTTTAGTTATGTCAGCAGTACATATTACTGGATGTTATTCGTAGAAAACCATAGATTGATGTAAGCTCTTTACATTTGGTATACCAAGTGTATATTGGGACTTAGATCACGACATCATTAAAAATATGACAGCACAATAGCAAGATACAAAAGCAAATGAAGCAACAAATGACAGAGTAGTAATACAAATCAAACTTCCATTGTTCATTAAACCAAGCTGAAATTGTTCATTAAACTAATCAGGGTATGTATAACTTGTGCTCAACTCTTGTTCCTTGGTCTACAGAGTATGAAAAGATAAAGGCTGCTGACTCCATATTAATAGTCGGAGGAGGGCCAACAGGTGTGGAGTTGGCTGCTGAAATTGTTGCAGATTTTCCTGCTAAGAAGGTGACATTGGTGCACAGGGGATCAAGATTATTGGAATTTATTGGAGAAAGCGCCAGCAAAAAGGCACTTAATTGGCTTACTTCGAAGAAAGTTGAAGTCATATTGGAGCAATCTGTCGTTGTTAACTCTCAATCAGATGGTGTTTATAGAACATCTGGTGGAGAAACTATAGTTGCTGATTGCTATTTTCTTTGCACCGGTACACTATTTGGTTCAGCATGGTTAAAAGAAACTATCTTGAAGGATAGTTTGGACAGTCGTGGAAGGGTAATGGTTGATTCAAATTTGAGGATTAAGGGTCGCAACAATATCTTTGCTATTGGGGACATCACTGATGTTCCGGTAAGTCAACCATACCTTTTTAAGTTTCTTACAGCTTGTTGTCATCCCTATAAACCTTAAATGTACATTCAAGAAAGCGTTTTTCAAGAACCTCTGTCTATGCATCTTCTCTTCCTAGCTCCTCCTCGTATAGAAAAGTCCAAGCAAGTAACTAGACCTTGTTAATATGTGTACGCTATGTAAATGGATAACTATTATTCTACCAATAAAAGCTCCAATGAATCGTAGTAGTTCTTGTGTCATAATAAGCATTTTACATGGAAGACATCCTTACTTTGTGATGGTGAAATGCAGGAACTTAAACAAGGATATTTGGCTCAAGAACATGCAAAGGTAGTAGCCAAGAACATCACGTCGTTAATAAAGGGAGTGGAAGATGATCACAAATTGGCTGTATATAAACCAGCAACCAAGGCATTGGCTATAGT